CTGCCGAAGAGTTTGATTTCCACATGGTATTTTCTGTGAAGCAGTATGGCAACAAGCAAAGCTTGATATGTTTTCATTGTCGTTTGATCAATTTTATCAAATCCAGGATAGGTAAAAAGACACTTTTTTTGGTGTCTGGTAAAGTGGAGATGACTGTAGTAGTTTTGTATCTGAGTAATAATTGTATAGTAGAGTAACTTAGAAGAGCATACAAAAGTTTTCTGCAGATCTTGTAATAATTAGCTTGAAAAAAGCTAGCAGGATCCCAGTTGTGATGCCAGAAGGATGATCTTTTTTCAATGCATTTTCGAGTATTAGATGATTTATTGTGCTCTTTTGAGCAATAACATCCATCTTTCTCTTTCACCGAGTCTTGGTGGATAAAGTTACTCGTATCTCTATTGGTGGATAGAGTTACTCGTATCAACCAACTTCATCATTGCGACTATCACCATCAATCGCCACCACGACACAATCAGCCACTACTGCCATCGCGGTTAATCGCTTCCACCATTACAACTAACGCTATCACTAACTGTCATCAATGCTATCGTCTACTACCACACATTATTTAGTCACAACCATCAACTACTAACAACAACCAACTTTCCCATCACAACTACTACCACCAACTGGCGTCAGTCACTACAACACTAACCATCTGCAACATCACGACTATCACCACCACTATTACTAGTCATTACCACCAATCATCACTATTACTATTACTATCATTACAAACCATGTCCACCAACACCATATCAAATCATCTCCACTATTACTAGCAAACACAAAACATTTTTTTTAATCAAATAATAATGTAATTTTATTAAATGAACATTTTTTTTCTAATATCTTACTATTTTTTATTTGAAAAATATATTTATTATATTTAAAAGTAAATAAATTATGCACATTCAAATATTGAAAAATAAACCGTTCGATCATTCAAATTCAAACGTCTTTATTTTAATAAAAATAAATAAGGTCCAATACACTTAAATTGCGATGAAAGGTGTGGCCTTTTTTTTCTATAAGTTTTATTTCAAAAACATATACAAAATCTAGCTTTGAATCTTGTCGATAGCTTCATGTATAAATTTTATTTAAAATATGTATATAACTGTATTAAAAAATATTTTTCTCCCAATAGTCAATAGAAATAATGATGTTTAGAAAAAAAAAATGACTTCAGCAATTTTCCATTATTATATTCACACAGGTAGCTTCCTCCCATATCATCAATTTCTTATATTAATTAGTGACGTGAAGACATGCACATTTTTTATTTTTTTTTATTTTTTTATTAGTCAATTAAAGTAGGGAAAAAGGATAAATATATCCTGAACCATCGTAAATGGTATGTAAATATCCTCCGTCATACTTTTAGGATAAGATTGTGCCACGTGTCCCTATTTAATCTTCCGTTAGAGTGTAGAGCATATATGCTCTAGTTTTTGGACGGCAGGGATATCAATATCCCAAAAATATAATAAAGAGTATCTGCTACCATTTATGATAGTTCAGGGTATATTTATCATTTTTCCCATTACAGTATGACAAACAGATAAATACCAAAATGGTCTCGATAATGCTAGTCAATTTTATTATTTTTAATGAAAAATATTAAGAGAATATTCATGCAATATGCCTTTTATCTTCTTCTCTTTTTTTCTTTGTTTGTCACACGTAGTACATTAAAATGAGCTCATATTCTATTATCTATCTAATCAGCTTATATTTTGGGAATAATTTTTTGAATCGATAAAATTTAAGTTTCAATTCATATTTAACCCAAAAGAAGAAGTTTCAATTCATATTTAACCCAAAAGAATATAAGTAAATATGAGTAAAATATGAAAAGTGAGGGAATGTCTAGAGTGTATTTGATATAGAGGAATATTTATTAATTTTTTCATATTTGGTTGATTTTTAAATATTTTTGTTGTCATCTTGAGAAACATCTAACTCACACATTTAACACCTCTAATTGCACGTCATATAAATTAGGGAAAATTACGCGTATAAGCAAAGATATACTAGTTAATTAGTTAACATAGCTGCTATAGTTTGCCTTAATTATAATTCGCAATCTACTTTTAGCTACAATTATACGGCTCAACTTTTTAGTTTTGTATAATTTGGAATTTGTTTAATATAATTTGTATAACTATTTACACTTTTGATGTTTGTAATTGTATAAATTCGTTATTTCGAGTCTATACAAAAATAACTGAATTATACAAATATACCCGTGAATTATACAAACTTGCGAACTATACAAATCTACGAATTATACAAACGAGACAACTTAAACTGTAACTACATTCCGTAAATATGCAAACTATAGCTATAGAGCATAATTAAGTTTATTATAATGAGTATTTACGAAAGTTTTCCAAAATTATAATGAAACAAGAAATCCATCATCCAAAATTCCCAAAATACAAAAGGACTCTTTATAAACCACACGTCTTGTCCCCATTTGCTACATGGGATATTTGACTATTTTGTCCTACGATGTCACTTCATAAAATACAAATAAATCATAATAAACCTACTTCATATAATTTCACAAGATCGAAGAAAATAGTGTACCTATGCAAATTTTATTCTTATGTTTAGATAGAAAATTTATTTTCTATAGATTTTTTATTCAAGTAAAAACACTACAAATTAGTTCGAAAAAAAAAAAACTCCTAACGTAAACAGGGGCGGCTCAAACCCGTTGGTGGCCTAAGGCCAAAATCAAACTAGAGGCCTTAAAAAAAAAATTAAAAATGTTTTTATTTTAAATCTATTTTTCTAGCTTTTTGAGATGCAAAGTTGTTAATAATTTTTGTGTAGTCAATCTCTTCTAATAATTTTTTTTCAATCGATAATATAGCCAAACCACTTCTAAAATTTATCAAGAGCACCTTTTTGAGATTTTATCAAGTTATCGACTTTTCTTTTTCTTTAAAGTTTTGAATGACTGGAGTCATATTTTCTTGTTGACATTATAAATTCTAACAAATATTTTAAACACTATTTACAATATCAAATAAAAAATATAATAAGCATATGACACAAAACAAAAATAATATTAGAAATTAGAATGATATTACCGAATTCAAGAACGATGAAGACTTAATTTCTGAAAATGAATTGGGCTGCTGCAATATATTTTTCTCCAAATTTAAAATATAAACTATCAATAGAACAAGTAAATTCTTAAGCTTTGAATAAGAGAGAGATATAATATTAGAAAAGAGAGAGAAGAAATAGAAGAGAAGAAGAGAGGATGATGGAATATATAAAAATAAAATTAGAAAAAGAATAAGGTAAAAATAAAAACATAACTTGTACATTAAAAAAAAAAGCACACAACTTTTTATTGAAAAGGGAAAAAGTAATTGTCATATCTATCTCTTCATTAATGTCATTTGCATTTGTTGTCTTAATTCTAATTTATTTATTTTTTTAAGTTTAAACCTACCTAATTAACTAAAAAATGGGGCCCCCAATGGCCAAGGACTTTTTTTTTCAACTTACCAGCCGCCCCTGCGTAAAGAAGTCAAGATAAGTTGTTATCTCTTATAACCAATTAAACAATAATTACGTATTTATCTTTGCTAGTGTTTTCTCCACCTGTCTATTTGTATATATATATATTGCAGTGTCATCCCATTGATCTTTCATTTATTTTTTTTAATAAAAATATATATTTTATTGCAACTAATTACCATATGAATAAATAAAGAGGGAGGGGACAGAAAGATGCAATATAGTAATTATTAAAAATCCACAATTATCATTTTGTTTGAGATTAATTCATTTAATAAAATCAAACCAATATACTAAGAAATTCCATTATTTAATACTCACTTTGGTTCTTTTTAATTGTCATGATTTTCTTTTTTAGAGTCAAATGATAATAATTTTGATTAACATTTTATAATGTATTTTTTTTATCATATTCATATGGAAAAATTGCAATTTATAGTACTTTTTCTATAGTTTGTGAATATCTAAATTTTTAGTTTTAAATATATTAATGTAATCTTATTTAACTTTGAAAATGAGCTAAATTGACTTTCAAAAAATGCAATAAAACAACTAAAAAGAAACGAAGTGAGTATTAGGGATGTTTTTAATAAGTGCTTAGAAATAATCATAACTATTAGGACACAATAATTGGCACAACCATGCGTTAATTTATAAGCATTTTACAAACCTCATAAAGCATAAGATTTAGGTTCACTTTTTCGTGAGACAAAAAATAAGTTTTTATATAATAAAAAATGTTATATGTGAGTTACATAATAATTAAAAAGAAATATTTCTTTGATCTCTCACCAAACTTGATACTAGTTGTGAGACTTTTTTCATAAGGATATTATTTAAACACTGCTATTTAACCTGTAAAAAAATAAATTGCATGACCATTATTTCATAACAATCTCAGATATATACTTTTTGAAGTTATATATGATTGAAGTTTTCATATTTATACCTGAAGTTCAAGTAAAAATAACTAAATTTCAGCTATATATATATATATATATATATGTATAAAATTCAGACAAAAATATTAGATAAATTGAGTTCTAGTACTGTAAACCAAATATAAGAAATTAAAAAAAAAATTAAAGGAAAAATGTAAGAATTTATTTCAGGATCCCTTTACAACAAGAAGTACATACATTAACAATTAAACATAAAACTAATCCACAAAATTACCCCAATAGTTTTTTTTAAAAAAAAATCATACTTACACAGAATAATTTTGAAATTTGGCATTCAAGCCAGTAGACACTTCAACTTTTGAGAATGCACATTTACACACACTTTAACTTGATTTCAAACATAACTAAACACTTCAACTCATCTCCATTATGTCTCGTTCATTCTGTGATACTGACGTGACACATAAATTTTGAAAATATCTAGATAATCATTTTATAAGTTAGAGTGTTCAACTGGACACAATAGAAGACGAGTTGAAGTGTTAGACGTACGCGACTCGCGTGCTTACTTGCAGGCTGAAACCAAGTTCAAGGTGAAGAACCCCATAAAACTTCAGCAACAATGGTGGCAGCTTCAGCATCAGTATTACAAGCTTCTCTAATCTTCTTCAATATCTCCTGTTTAAATCCTCTTTTTTCTCTCTGCCTTAATCCTTCTCCTACTTCCAATTGCACTGTAAATCTTGCTACACAGCTCGCAAATGGATGCTTCTCCAAAAATCTCTTTTCTCTATTTCCCCTTTTCTTCTTCTTCTTCGTCTTCCCTTTTTCTTCGGGTTCATCTTCGTCTATTTCTTCTTCACTATCCTCATGAACTTTTCCCAAATCAATCAAATCACCACCCAAATCAGACCTCTGTAATTCCACCAATTTGTTAATCAACCCGCAATTCAACATTGCTTCTACAGCTTCTTTCCTCCCAAAATAGCCAATTTCAAGTACAAAATCCATCGCAGTTACCTTGAATGGCAAATCATCTGAGTTTAAATATGAAATTGCCTTTGAAATTCCACCAACGGATTCGATTACATCAACAAGAGGACTTCTAATTGCTTTTATAAGAGAAGATAAGACTTCCAATGAACACAATGAATCCATGGAAATTAAAGCTTTTATTGTTTGACCTATTAGAACTTGCCCAACGAATACGTCTTTGTTGAAAAGTACAACTTCTTTCAAAGCGTATCCGGCTTTTTCACGCACTTTTTGTGGCACATTACAGTTGCAGCAGAGGAGAAATTCGAGTTCGGAGAATATTTTTGATTTCAACAACAAATCCTGAAGGTTTATGTTGAAACCCTGACTCAATCGATCATGGAAAATAGTTAATTTCTCAACAATTTCATCTTCTTCTTCTTCGTATTGCAATGAATTTGATTGTAAACGGATTTGTTGAAGCTGATTAGTGAGATTTGTAATCGATTCTCGATCAATCCAAGCTTGGATTTCTGATTCGATTGATTCTGCGACTTTTGTGATTTCATGAGTTTTGACTCTTCGAGTGAGGAATGATTTGATTCTACCATGTTTGTGTTTCGATTTATCTAAAGAAGAAATTAGGGTTTTGAGATCGGAGAGATGGTGAGATAGGTTTAAGAGGTTTGGGTCGGAGTAAGTGTCGAGCTCGAGCAAAGCTTTAATGGCGGATGAAGAAGATGAGTCGGATTCGGATGTATCGGATTCTGGGTTGGATTGTAGTTGTTGTGAAGCTTGTTTTAGTGCTTCGAGAACTTTTAGTATTTGTTGTGTTTCTTCTTCGTCCTCCATTGATGATGTTGGAGAAGAGAAAAAATGGAAGCTATGTGAGTAGAAAATGGAGACAAATGGAGTGGATAGAAGAGTATATTATAATCTATTTTATTTATCGCGTTTTGACTTGACACAGACTATAAAATAGAACGGGAGCATATAATTCGTAACGTTACTATCATGTTATAAGGAGGTCATGAATTTATGTATGTGGAAATAGTCTCCTAGATAGTTTCATTCGACTCCTCATTAGTATTCAGATCGAATGACTTTATGAAATTGCACATTGGGTAGAATAGACATTTATGATTCGAGAGCTTAGTGTACCTAGACCTTTGTGATTCTAGTCGGAATTAGTGTATCAGATTGATGTGTGATCTAAAATTAGAGATATATAGAATATTACTCTATCAAAATATCATTTAATTTTGTATTTAAACATATAACTCACCGAAAAGAAAATAATAACATGTAGCATGGAATTATGATTTCAAATCTCTTTTTTTTTTTAAAAGAAAAAGTATGATTTTAACAATTATAAATGTAAAATTTGATTCATAAATTTATATAATATTAATTTTAAAGAAAAATTCATGTTCGGCATGAAGAAATTGTTTGTATAGCGCAATTGATGACTACTGAATTTTTATAAAATTATGTGTATTGAAAGTTTGTAATCACAACATTTATTTATAATTAAAAGAAATATGGAGATATGTGATTTAATAATGCAACACTTTAGGATATTTCGATATCTTGTTTATAAACTATAGTTTGCTCATTTGATAAAATTATATAAGAGTTTATAAATTTTACAATTTGCGGGATTTTCATGTTTTTGTAAAAAAAAAAAAAAAAAAAAAAAAAAGATTTAAATTTCATACTTTAGCATAATTTTCTTTTTGAATTATGTTGCGTACTATAAATTCTTGTAATTGTCATCCTTCTTTGAATCCGACCTATTATGAAAACTTAAACACGCTTTCTTCCAAATTTCAGGGATTCACACGTGGTTGAAGTTGTTTTTGTTGACTTCCCTTGCTTTTCATTTGTTACATGAATTTAAAATATTGGTTCTAAATAATTGAATAATGGGGATGATTAAATCAATTAGAAACCAGAAAAATGAAATGTCACAACTAAAGCATAAGCAAAAATAGAATGTTTACTGATCTAATTATGAAAAAGAAAGTGTAAGTGGTTTATTAATTCTTGACTTGTTGAAAAAATCTGAAGAGAGATAGAGATGGATCAAAAAGAAAATTGTGAATCGACAAATCAAAGACATTATTTTGAATAAGAAAATATGAAAGTCGATAATTAGAAGTCTGAACGATCGATAGATACAGTGGAGGCAGAAGTGGAAGAGCAAGACTCTAGTCTAAAGCTTCTCTACTTTGTTATCTTATCAAACTAGTAATATTACTAGTATTTTATTGTTATTATTATTTCTTTTAGTTTGATTATTCTTAATTTTTATATAATATATTATTCTTTCTTCAATATTGTCATTTTGATATTTTAATATTTCTTTTCCTTCAAATCTTTTTTTGAGAATGATTCTTTTGAGCTGAAAGTCTATCAAAAAAATTTCTCTATCTTATAATTAGAAATTTTTTTGCGTAAACTTTATCTTTCTCATAATCTACTTATGATAATATATTTAATATATTGTTGTTATTATTATTATTATACGCATTAACTTTGTTCATCAACTTTCTCATGCCACCAACAAGGGTTGTGATGGAGTGGTAAGTACTTATTCATCCTTAACCAAAAGGTCTCGGGTTCGAGCCCTCTTGGGTACGGAGTCGCCTTTGTTAGGGGGTGTTTTACCTCCTATGTGAGACTTCCCGACGCGTATTCGAATTTAGTCAGGCTCCAATATGAATACCGAACACCGAATGGGAACCCAAAAAACAAAAAAAATTCTCATGCCAATGACAGATCACATAATTAATTTAGGGATTGCCCAAATTAATGAATAATAATGACATATTCCAAAGGGATATATGTAGATTCGAATATCCTACAGATGTTTCATTTAATTAATTAACATATTTCAATTTGTGTGGGGCAAAAGTCAACATCTACCCTTCCACAATTCCTAATAGTTGTTCAAAATGGTGAAACTACAATATTAGGAATAGTTGGTCGGTGGAATAAAGATAATAATTTCTTTTAAAAAATACATGATTATTTTTTTCTGTCGGCAAGCGAATGACAAGTGTGTTGCGCATGCATCACTTCTAGTTTGAATTTTAACTTAGAAGTCTTTCGTTATGATTCAATACACGATAATTTTGTGTTACTATATCAAATGTGATGAACTAGTTATGTAAATCAACGATTCATCTCGAATATATCATTATATGATATTGTTGTTGAATAAAATTAACTTGTTTGAAATTATTCGAGTGGACTCTAAACATGCCAACCAATTTGGGTTTTATCAGAATCGACCCAAGGCATATGAACACAATTTTTCTTTTTTTTAAAAATAAAATAAAATAATTATTTATTTATAAGCTTGTTAGTTCAAATTAAATTATTATGATTAATTTTCTGCATATTTATTTGAGAAAAAGGTCTGAAATATATCTGAATTTTGACCGAAATTGTTGTAACAATATTGAACTTTGGAAAAGACCTTTTACCCCTACACTATTTAATAGTGTATTTTAAAGGTATATATGTGCTTACGTGGACATCATAAATATTGCATCATTATAAATAGTAATGTGTCCACATGAGCACATATATACAAAGGCGTATCCAGGATTTCGGCTAGATGGGTGCACGATTATGAAAAAATGTATTTTAAATATAAATTTGATCGATTTGACTTTTTGATTATTAATATGAACCATTAAATTTTAAAACCTATAGGTCCAAAATATATAATACTACTAGTTTTAAATTTTAATATACACATTTGATTTAATTATATAAAAAATTTACAATGCTAAATTTTTTAGGAATTTGCAATGTAACACACTTGAAAACTTTGAAAGATTAAAGGGGAAAAAAAGCAAAATTAGTTGAAACGTCAAAAGTATAACTGAGAACCACTTGAAGAGGTGTTACTCAAAAGGACAACATAGATATAAAATTTAAATCTCTATCCTCACATAGATAGGTGCATCCAATCATCATCATCGTATTATTATATGATACTTTGAACATGGGTTCACACATTTATATTTAAATATTTTTGTTAAAATATGACACTACTATATATGATCTAGAGAGGGGAGCATGGGTTCACGTGAACCCACGGCACCCCCTCTAGATACGCCTCTGCATATATACCTTTAAAATACACTATTAAATATAGTACAGAGGGCAAAAGGTCCTCCATAAAGTTTGGTATCGTAACAGTAATTTCGGCTAAAATTGAAGTATTTTGATAGACCTTCCGTGCAATAAGGGCTTCTTCTTTTTCTCATTCTTCAAAATCAGATTCATATTTTTATTAAAAAATATTTGATCAAGAATAAATCCTTTAAATAGTTGAAGTGTTATAACTTATATTTGATTTCTCTTTTATGATTATATATCTTTCTAACATGGATGAATTTAGAATATTGGGATAGATTTTCGATAACTCATATTTATATTGAGAATCCATTAAATATATATATATATATATATATATATATATATAGCAAATTACTAACGGGAATCAATACAAAAAAGTATGTTGTTGGTTCAACCAGAAAAGCGAATTAATCCAACTTACAAACGGCCTTCTTAGATAGCAAGCACTAGCTCCCGGTGCGACTTCATAAAAAGCAATCAAAGAGAAGATCGAAGAGAATGAAACGCACGTAGTGGTTATTAATCAAGGATTCCCTGAGTAAGAATCCTCGGATCATCACTTATTCCCGGAATAAATAGAATGACTAAAAATTCAAAGAAAGATTTTGCTTTTGGTCAAAATATAAATAGGGGTTGAAAGAAAAGAATCTTTCGATTTAGAAATTAAAATCAAGTAAGTGTGCGACTCCGTATGAGGACCTCCTTCTCTTCTGCCCACTCTCCGTTCACACGGTTCTCAAAGCAGAGGAGGAAGGGTGGGCAGCAGGTACCACGAGCCCTCTGTCGGGTAAATTCAATATAATAGACGCCTGTTGGCATTCCAACCTTCCTTCTCCTTTCAGGGCCTATCCGAAAGAGAATCCAGTACTTCTTGGTAGTGAATATCTGAACTGGTTGTTTGCTGTTCAAGAATTCTTGTTTAGGCAGTTCATACCATCCATACATAGTGTTTTGATCTAAGATTTCAATTCTTCCGTGTTTCAGCAGTAACATATTCTTCCATGGAGCTAAGGTCCAAAATATGGAAGAAACAACATTCCCGTTATGTTTACTAATACTCTTTATAGTTTGAAATAATTACATATTGTCTTATTGATTAATAATGTCATATCAGATTTCAAGTCAAATACAACTGAATACATGTATATTGGTACCAGATAAACTAAAATAGGGAGAGAAACGTGCAAGATAGGAGGGAGACAAATGAGATAATCAATCGATGTATCGCAAATATATGAGAATCATACTAAGAGCCCGTTTGGATTGCCTTAAAAAAATAGTTTTTAAGTCAAAAATAAAAAAAGTCAAACTTAAATAACTTTTAAGTCAAAAAATAAAAAATAGAGGGAGACCTATTTTTGATTTTTAACTTATTTTTGAGTCATTTTAAACTTATTTTAAGTTATTTTTAATTTTATCAAACACTTCCTGACTTATTTTAAGTTATTTTTTATATTTGTCAAAAACTTTCAAAAGTAAAAAACCAACATAAAAGTACGTTTGACCAACTTTTAAGTCAATTCAAACGCCCTCTAAATACATGTATATGAGATTTTAGATACATTCTAAAATATAGATATATGGAGAATAGGCAATCGAGAGAGAAGAGAGGTGATCAAGGTAGAAAAGAGGTCAGCGAGAGAATCAAATATGTGCAAATTATTTAAATATAATGTATTTAAAATAAATTACACCTTATTTTAACCCATGTATCCGAGGTACATCTATCATCATAATTCTTAAACTTAC